CAGTTGACTACATGGGAGTTCAGTGACATAGCCATTACACTAACTACTGGTCCCTGTTCTTTGACTACTGTAGATAACCTTGTTGAAAACTGTACACACATGAACACATGGTATCAAATATCAGATTTAAACTGTCTGAAGCATTACAAGCAAGTCTGACTTCCCTCCTATAAAATCATTCATCTTGCAACTATTGGGTTGTCAGGAAGTCATGATGCATTTTTGCATAGAAAAGCATAGGAAAATTTGTCACAACTTTCCTGATAACCTAATAGATTGTGTAAGGATATAGGCAGTGATGAGATTCCTTGTATTATTATTTCTTTCAGTTCTGAACTTTAGAAATCCCCATTCATTCAATAGGCACATATTAAAAGAGGGCATTTGTTGTTGGTTTAATGGGGAAAGTGTTCCTTCAGTTGTATATGGGCTTTTTGCCTTGCACACTTATTGTTAAATTAAATGTACCTTAAAAAAAAGAATGAAGGAGGCAATTCTACATGATACTACAGAATGTTTGCCAAGAAGCAGTAAGTTAAAAAAACAAAGCACAGGGGACCAGCAGGTGGCATAGTGGTTAAGGCATTGGACATTCCCAAATTACTGACCACGGTTTGAGTCCTGGACCTGGTGACTTGCTTTCTCACTCTCTCTCTATATGTCTCTCTGGTTAAATTAAAAATAAATGAATACATAAAATAAAATATAAAAAAGCACAGACTCATGTGATTTTGCATGCTATTTTTTATTATAAAATATATTATTATTGAGGCATGCATAAAATAGCTCTGGAAGGATTCAGAAAAATCTATTTGGTTGCTTCTGAGAAAAGGAATTAGATGTTGGAGCAGGGGCGAGAGGAAACTTACTCATTTTATGTTTCTCAACTTTTGAGTTTTGATGTGTGGCTATGTAGTGCCAATTCAAAAATAAACTAAGTAGTGTGGTGTTGGTGGCAGAGCAGTGAGCATACCTGCTTTTTAAAAATAAGCTAAGTTTAGGTAATTTTTAAAATAATGAAATATTCTATTCCTTGAAAAAAGTATTACTCATTAGTTCTATCTTTTAAAAAAATTTTTCCTACATGGTGCATGTGTTCACTGGAGACAGAGAGAGGGACAGTGAGAAATCACTCCTTAAGGATGATGGATGCACTGCAATCCTTTCTCCTCCATTCTCCTTTTGGAATTTTTGCACATGTACACACCTGTGCCTATGTAGTATTGGAATGTGCAATGTCTGGGACTTGAACTGTGCAGTTGGCCATGTGGGATCCAGCTGTCTTGGCTTTATGAACAATCTAAATGCTAAAAACTCCTATGCATTTGAGTTCTAGACTCATTTATCTCATGGCCTATTTGAATATCTCACAGAAGTTTCAAAAACTGGCAAAACCAAGCAATTCTTTCCAATTCTTGCCCTGTGCTCACCAACCCCTCTTTCCCAGCCTTCCTCTGTCTCATCAACCCTTATGCTCAAGCAAGCTGAACATATATACATTATATTTATATAAAATTCCACTGTTATTTCTAACTCTCCTCTGCGACCACCTCAGTTCAAGCCATCATCTCCTCATTTAGTTTCTACGTCTCCTCTCAAAACCATTTCCAATGCCATTCCTTCAAAAGTTCATCACGGCCAACCTTGGTGGCACAGTTGGTAACAAACTGAATTCAATGATGGAAGCCACATGGCTGACTGCCTGTCTGGATCCCCAGACAGCTTGAAAACATACAAGACACCTATGCCCATGCCCAATTTCCTGATGAGCGGGTGGGGTGGGGTTAGGGGATTGCAGCATGACAAGACCTTAGTAAGGATACCTCTCTCTGTCTTTCTCTTATTCTGTCTATTGCATACATGTACATGTGATCTGTACAATGAATCAAATAAATAAACCTTCAGAAAGAAAAGGTTTTTCTAAAGCCACCTAGTTCAAAGTAGATTCTCCTATTATTCTGTCAAAGGAATCTATTTTTTCCTTTATACCTTTCATTAGATTTATAATTGCATATTTATATTTATGATAACTTGCATTGTTTTTGCTGGATTATAATCTCAATGAAGGTAGGAGTGTCCATGTTTTCTGATCCTATGCCTATAACCTAGCAGAATGCTTGGCACATGGAATACAATTAATAACTTATTTTCAAATGAATGGAGAAGTTAGAGTGAATGAGCTCTTCCCATGAATCAGGCATTGTGCCAGAAACTTTACTCAAAGATAATACTCCTGTTTTAGAACTGCCATTTGCCAAGGGGCATTTACATCCAGGCACAGACAAGTATAAAATGAGTACATGAAATGAGTACTATCTCATGCGTGAATGGGGTAGCTGTAAGGAAATGCTTTTTGTTGGGCAGGAAAGGAAGCTCCAGAGGGAATGTGTAAGTCAAAGGGGAAGATGGAAGAGCAAGTCCGACTTCCTTCCTATGAAATCAGACACTTGAACTAGGCGATTACTGTGGCTTTAGGACTCAGTCTGCTATTTCCCCAGAGTTTGTCTGACAACATAACAATCCCCCCAGATCTGTTTTCTTAGTTATGTCAGATCGCCTATGATATTGGGGTTGTGAAGATAAGTATCCTGTTTCAGGGTGCAGAGGAAAAGCAAGTGGTATATTCTCTTCAATTCTGGGGAGCCCAATGTGAGACCCCAGCCATGGAGACTCTAACCCTGCCATCTTCACAGGCCTCGGCCTCTCAGGCTGTCTACTCTCCTATACGGTGCCCAAGATGGGAAGAATGACCTGTTCTTGAGAAAACAAACAAAACAATAAAGTAAAATAACTGACAAACAGCCTTTATTAAATAACAAGCAAATAGTCTACATAAGTACAGTCTCTTATCTGTTGCACGTGAGTGCCTCTCTCTCCCCCTGTGGAAACGCACTCCACATGACAATGTGCAAGCCAAGCAGCAGCTTGTCTGAATGCCCCGGGATAGTGAAGGTGATGGCTTGACACCCAGTTCACACTCGGCTTCTCCATCCCAGAACAACCACTTCCATTCACAAAGACTTAGGTGAAGAAGTACTATCTTCATTTAAAATGCCCATATTTTTCCACTCCACAACTTGCCTAACAGTTAAACCAACTGTTACTCTTCAAGGTATGGGTTACTTTCTTTGCATTTGGGTCAAACTCCAGCTGTGAAGATCCACGGAAGAAGTAGAAAAACCCTGTAGATATAGACAAGGGGAATAGAGAGCCGTATTTTCAAAAGAAGAAACTCAGCAACATACGATACTCATAATAACAGATGACTAAAAACAGTAAATATTTAGAGAGTTTTACTCTCTTCCAATGACAATATTAGGTGATTAATAAATTTTTTAAAATTTATTTTTACAGCCACCTTGTAAGAGAAGTCTATCTAGCTCCGTTTACAGATGAGCAAGGTGAGGTTTAGCCAGATTTAGATGCTTGCCCAAGAATAATCAACAAAGAAGGGTGGGGATAACACTTCCTGCCAGCACTATCTGACAGCGATGCCAGGGTCTGGGTAACAGGGTTACTCTGCTTCCAATCAGAAGAAAATCTCTGCTCGTTTGGAAACGATGATTTCTTTTCTCTACTCCTCCACTCCTCTTACAGCCCGAGAGGCATTTCTGGTCTCAGAAAACGAGAACTCTTTCAAAGTACAGAGAAGACTTTAATGCTCTGAGAACATGGTGCCATGTTACCTTTCAGTAAAAATTACAAGCCTCCACTCACCTAACCTTAAGCAAAACAAAACAAAACAAAACAAAACAAAACAAAACAAAACAAAACCAAACCTTTTATTTATTTAACTGTACGCCAGCTATTTGCAATGGGCCAGTGTAGGGCAACCACTCACTAAGGAAAGACCAAGAAAACTCTCCCCAGAGATTAATAGTAGCGATAGAAAGGATGGGTGAGAGAGCCAGCCAGAGTAAACCCAGCTGCATCACTTGACGGCATGTTTATACTAACATGGTAATCTGAAAGGTAAGAGCTCAAGGCGTGAGGAAATATGCTGGAAAACGTGGCTTTATATGCATGCACACAATAGAGATTTGTGTTATCTTTGTGTTTCAAAGGTTATATATGATGTGCAGGAGTCATTGATACACCCAAGTCAGCTGTCCTTGGGTATCACAGGACCTTCTGAAGATATCAAACTGCAGCCAGTCACACCTCTTACATAAAATGGTGTGTTATTTGCATATAACCTATGCACGTCTTTCTACCTACTTTAAATGATCTCTAGATGACTTATAGGACCTAACACAGTGCCTGCACGTCACTTCATTCATGTGAAGTCAACATAGTACTCAGTGTGCAGCTAAGTCAGGTTTTGCTTTTTGAAACTTTGTGGATTTATTTTTATTTTCATTTTTAAAATATTTTCAATCTGCAGTTGATTAAATCAGCATATGTACAACTCATGGATTCAGGGGGCCAATTCTAATTGTTACAGAAGTGGGTGAATTGAAATTTTCTGGAGGAAGGAGAGATATGAAAACAACTTACTAAAAATTGTTTTAATTATCTTTCCCTCTGATCTAGGCTGTTTCAAGTGTCCCATTGCCAACGAAATAAGGATCCTCTTACCAAATGCTTCAAAAACAGCATCAACCTTTGGTTCAACCCCTGGGAAGTCTTCAGCTATCTTCTTGGGAAAGCCTGGCTCCATAGCCTGTCTCTTCTCGTCAAATCTGTACCAAGTGAGAGAAACAGCTCAGTGTTGCCCAGAGGTCATGTTACCAAATTCATAAATCACGTTAGGTTGAATATAGGATTCTAGTAAACTTTCCAAGCATTGCAAATAGCTCTCAAGTGTATACAGGACTGCAGAACTATGCGATTCAACACAACTGCAGACTCAGCTTTAAAAACCCTGATTCCTTCAGGAACGGGAGCCATGTCCTGCCATAGCAGGTCCTTTGTTATCACGGGTCTTTAGCCTGCACAGAAAGAGCTTCCCTCATCCTTCTGAAACAAAGACACATAGATATGAACAGACACATATGAGAAGAAGAAGTCAGAAAGTTCCTGGACAAATGGAATTAAAGAACACACTGATTTTGTTCCAAAAATTCTAAATTCGTACATAGTTTTTTCCTGATAATGCACTTTCTGTGAATTTTTGGAAGCCCCCTCTTCTATATGAAGTGAACTGAGTCATTCCTCTGAAATGCAATGCCAAGCTCTCTACAACCATTGGCCCATATATCCCTGTCCTCCACCCTGCACATTTACGTTCTCTATGGCAGTCTTCTAGGAAAGGGGACAGGCATGAGAAGCAAAGGACAATAAGTGCGTTTTGGGCCCCACAAGCTGGACATTGAAGAGTCTGCCTGAAGTCTCAGTCTAGGCAGATGGCCCAGGAATCAACCTGTCTGTGGGCCCTGGACTGTATTCATAACACTGACCTGTTATTGCTCGTCACCTCTTAAGTAGGCAAAAGTAATGGATCATGAGGTCAAAGAAAGTCCTTGAAAATCTCTTAGCGATATTGGAAGATAAGACCAGTACACAGTGAGACAAGAGCAAAACCCAAAGAAAGGGTGCTAAGTCGATTCTCAGGACCCTTTCCATTTGAAGAAGGAAAGCACAGTTGGCCTTTAAGTTCAGAAGGGAAGACTTCATGGAAGTGGTGGGACTTGAGTCAGGACTTGAATTCTGAACGGGATGTGAGTAGGTAGAGGGAAGGAGAGAAGAGCTCCAGGCTGGTGGGGCAATGGCCCAGAAAGAAGCACCAGCCTGTGGTACATGGACTCACAACAGGAGAGCTTAAGCAAAGCCTGTCATAAGGCTCTGCTATGCTGCTATGTTTTAAAGCAGGCATTTCCCCCTTGGTTGGTGATAGCCCCATCCTTCCTCCTGAGAGAGAGGGGAGCAGGCCTAAGAATGGGGAGGGTGATTTCCTTAGAGAAAGGATCTTACCTCCAGTATTTGTCCTCTACAAAGAAGTATGTTTTCTTCTTTTCCTTATCAGAAATGGCTGCATCGATTTTCTTCACTGTTGGAGAGAAACCCAGGGTGTGGATGCCTCTTGGGTAACCTGCCAGTACCTCATTTCCTCGGATGGCCCAGAACTGATTTCCTGTTAAAAATGAGAATAATTCAGAGTCATACTGAATGTATAGCCAGTTCAATCTTTTGGTTCTAGAAGTATATTTTAGCACTTTTGACTTTTGAGGTAAAGAAAAAGCCTGGAGTTTAGACTTTGTCACTTTCTCGTAGAGGGCATTTAACAGAAACTTGCAGACTGAATGAAGGAGGCAAGGACAAATAAGAGAATTTTCAATACTAGGTGATTTATGTTTGTAAACATAAATAAAATAATACCAGCTCTAGTTATCTCTTCATTACCTTTGGCTACCTTATTAATCAAAATTTGACATAGTAGAGAAAAGATAAGTCCTGTTCAATTTTCCTGGGAGAGAGTTTGTTTTGTCCAGTTAAAAACATGTTTATATGATAATTACCTTTAAAAAGAAAAACAGTATCCCTGCTAGTAACTTCGCATGCAGCATCCAGGTTCGAAGGAAGTGATGGCCAAAATGAAGAGATCAAATGAAATTCAGGTTCAGGTGTCCTGAGGGATTTGCGCCAAAAATGCCTGAAATGCATGTAAAAAGAAGTGGAAATTGAAGAACAAACTTTTATCATTAGCATATTTTCCTCGTCATTCTGCTCCACCTCTCCCGTGTCCCTTCATCTTCTACGATGGATGGCCAGCAGAAATCAGGTATATTGCCATTAGGGAAGTTTCGGGGGAGCCAGCTGGTGTCATGGTGGTTAAGACAGCTGGATCCCACATGGCCAGCTACACAGTTCAATTTTCAGACCCAGTGGCTTGAAAAACATGCCAGACCAGGGGTGTATATGTGCCCAAAATCCCAAAAGGAGAGATAAATGGAGGAGAAAAGTTTCTTATTCTTCAGAAGAGACTGCAGTGGACTTTTTGTCATAGGCTTTCCACGTTCCATCTGTGGAAGGAAAGTTATGCCCCCATGCAGATTCAGTAGCCCACTGTAAGCTTTAACTACCTGCAATGCATCCAAAACAGGCAGTGTGTATGTGCATGTGCGAGGGGGCTTCAAAAAGGGCATGGGTGACAGAATTAAAGTACAGGCTCATTTTCGTGCAAAAGTTTTTTAAATCTACTAGTTTTTCATAGGAAGCCTTTTTCATGAATTTTTGAAAACTCGCCCCTGGTAAATGTGCTCTAACTGTTCATTGTTGTATATGCATTGAACGGTTCTGGAAGGATACACGAAAGTCTTTATTACGGATAACTGCAGGGAGAACTGAAGAACCAAAATTTAACTTTTTCCCATTTGTGCAGCTTGAGTTTTTGATCATGTAAGAGGTTTTTGCTATAGGGCGCGTGCGCTCGCCAGACAGACAGAGAGAGACAGAGAGATAGAAAGCAGGAAATCACCCCCCAGGGGGGATGGCCACGCTGCAATCCCTTCTCCTCCATTCTCCTCTCAGGATCTTGGGCACACACACACACGCGCCCGGCGTGAGTTTAAGCCACCGGGTCCGGGACTCGAACCACGGTCAACTACATGGGAGTCCAGCGACATAGCCATTACGCTAACTGCTGGTCCCTGCAGCTTGAGTTTTTGATCATGTGCATATTTATCTCCCAGTAAAAGTAATGGATCAAATTTAATGCTTATCTGATGTCTTTTGTAAAGGAGCTGCAGATTAAAATCCTAAAGATCTAATTGTGTCTTTTGAAAAGTAACCACAACTAAGGATATTTGGGAACAATTTGAGGACAAGAATCAAATCATCCCATGTCTTCTAAAAGGAACTTGATGGTGGGAATATGGAAAAGGCAGCACTAATATGAATGATTTCAAGCCCAGAGGAAGAATTTTTCTTTTAAATGTTTAAAAATCTCTATCAAGTTCCTGTTTGCTTTCTTAGTATGGTAGATCAAAAGAGTAAAGAGGGAAATGTAATTTTCTGGACTGACCTGTTTTTAAAGAACAGGACTTCTCCCCTCAGAGTGCTGACTGCGTCGAAGGACAAAGTGGGATCACACGTGGCTGGTGTCTCAGATCCTGAAGGGACAGATTCCGTGGGCACTATGGGATTATCAGGAGAAGCAGGTGGAGGCCCTAAAAGGAACAGATTCAGGGTTGCAGACATTAGGAGAAATGTGATAAATGCCAATTTAAATGCCTTCCAACCATTGTCCAGGTGCTTTGAGCTAAAACAAAATGTTACATTTAAAATTTTTCCTGAAGACTATCTTTGCAAAGCTACAATGCCTAGTTTTCCCAGTACTGCTCACCATAGAGAGACTGGATGCCGTCCACATCATCCTGAGCAAGGCGGAACTGGGCCAGGTCCGTGAATGACTTGTAGAGCGGGTACATCAGAGCTTCAGTGTTGGTCGAGTGAAAGAGACCCAGGGAGTGGCCAAGTTCATGAGCAGCAACGAGGAATAAATTGGTCCCTGTTTAAGAAATCATAAATGACAGTTATTTATTCCTTACATGCATGTACATGACACGGGCAGCTATGCATCATATTTGTTTACTTTCTGGGAACATACACAGAGTTTTCTACACCTTGTTTGTTGGTTAATTGAGCAACTGTCTGATTACATACATAGAGAAAGCCCAGTGTATTTCAAGACTCAGGCTGGAACTCAATCTTTGAGATTAAAGACCCAGTCACATCTAACTACAACCCTCCAACCTCAAGAGAACCATAAGAGAACCACATTTCTCTTGTACTCAGCAATCTAATGAGCCCACTCATTTAGCATATTCACAAATATTTTTCTTCACTTGTCAATGAAAAGCTAAACACCATTTCAGTGGATTAACATCTGCCAGTTGCAGTCTCAGTTAAACGGTCTACTCATCTCAATTTTGAAATCCTTAAACACTCATACTCCTGTTATTTTCTGTTGGAATATTGCCTGCATAATTTTTCAGCCTCTGCATCATCAAGTACATACTGAGCTCCCAAAGATGAATAATGATCAATGTCATAGGAAGTCCAGAATTTGGCTGAAAACATAACATGCTCAATTATGTCTAGTATTTGTCACACAAGAGATTCCGAACATGTAAATAGTGACTGTTTTCGGATTTTTTTCTTCCAGTTATTAAAAAAATGCTTAAATTGGAAGATTTAATGCTGGGTAACTATGATTGACATAACAAGTAAGTCTATTTTTGTAAGGATTTCTTGTGCCATTTGTGATCTTAAGAATACTGAGATTTGAGACTTTGCATAAAGGTTCCTTTGCAAGAAGCAACTTTTAGTACAATCAAACCAATAATTTTATACACCACTAAGTTCACATTGGTCTTTTCTACAGAGATTTTTATTATAAACCCAAATTAAATTAAGTAGTATTGTTTCAGCTGATTTTTGGAAAGCTTTGGAAGCCATCCCCAAAATATACAGTTAAGAAATAAGAAATATTCTTCTACCGAAACAGCACATTGTATTTGGGGGCTGGTCATTCTCTTCAGAACAAGTCTATAGAGATTATTCTTAACCTAAAGGTAGTAAATGCTAGTTTAGACAGAATAACAAAAAGAGAACTTCAGTTTCTGGAATTTAAGTCTGATTTCTGTTTTGAAGAATAAATAAGTAAATGGGAAAAATTGCATAATCAATATCCAGGGCATATTTTAGGTAGATTCAGGTAATATACTATCCTTTGGCTATCTGCAATTTGATGTGATGAGAAATTATTCTTGATAACAGTGGTCCTCAAAATAATAATAATAATGGTGGTCCTCAGATCACACCAGATCCATAATCATTAAAGAGATAATTAATGATGTTTCCTATATGGCACTTACCAAGACAGGAAATACACTTCTAGACATCTGATAATGTTTTCAATAATGATTAAAACAAAAATACATTCTGCCAATCCCAACCCATTGAGAAATCAAGAATGCCGCATTTCTTTATTATTCTTGGTTATTAAGAATCTCTAAGTATGAAAAGAGATTGGCATCAAATCTGTTCAGAGAGATGTGCAACTAACCTGCTGAGTCCTTTGTCCATTGCTCATCATCATCGAAGTGAGCGTCTCCATAAATCCCCTGCCCAGGTGGATAGGCGTGAGCCAAAACTTGTCCAGGTCCATCAAAAGGACTAAAGTCTCCATGTTCTGATAAAACAAAAAACATAAAACAAAAAAACAACATATATTTTGTTTATTGGAAAGCTAGGTAGTTAGGATCTCTCTTGAGCCTTTTTCAATAAAGCAATACCAGATAAGTGGATGTATTCTGTGCTTTTTTCCCTTTTGTTTTGCATTGATTTTACCTCTAACTGCAAAAGAGATCATGATGTCAGCCTCTCCTTCATGTATCTTGGAGAATGTGAGTGGAGTCACCTCCTCCCAGATTTTCAGAGCTTTCTCAATGGCAGAATCAACAGCATCTCTTGGCAAATCTGGAGTATAATTCACAATCCTGTATAAGAGAAATTGAAGCTATCATTTTTCTCATGACATAACAACTTAAAGCATTACGGGAGATGTGAAAACTTCCTTGGAGCCATTACCTGTAAGTAAGGTGAGTTTTCTTCCACTTCGGCATGCCAGGGAAGGTACTAAAGCCACCGACATCGGGAACGCCACACCTGGGCTTGTGCATCATCCCCATAGTGGCAGAGTCCAGCTTCCCCGTCACCTCCAACCCGAGGAACTTCTGCATTTCTTGGATCTTTTTAACCACAGGACCACTGTCCCTTCTTCTCACAAATTGTCTCGCATCTTTTGGGAGGTTGTAGTAGTTTTCCAGATATTTCTAATAGAATAAATATAATTTTTAGGTCATTCTTATGATTTTTGTAGTAAATTTATTGCTATTTATAGTAAATTTTGGCAGTTGTTCATTTTTCTTAAACTGAAGTATTTCTCTAGTTCGCTGAAATAATAAATGCCATATTTCAATGAATTCTTCAGTGATAGCCTCCTCCCTGACCTTTTCTTATCTTTGTAACTCTCTGTCTCTGCAGGTTTGCTATCAAGGCAATAAAAGTCAAGTGGAAAATGGAGAAAAATATTCAGTGTGCTTAAAGGAAGAAAACAAAATAAGCAAACAAATCTCTTGGGACATATTTGCATATTCCAGGTCAATTTATATAATTTCTTTAATTTTCCATAAGAACCTGGCTTAGGATAAAAAGTTGAACAAATTTCCTTGTCTAAATGTGACACGAGCAATAGAAATATCTATGTAAAATTACAACGGATTAAATACCTGCAGAAGTTCTAGAGCACAACACAGTACTAACTTGCTATGCGTGGGCCCCTGCACTGCTCCTGCTCTGGTGCTGCACAAGCTGAGAAACCCACACTATTTCTGGCCTTCATTTCTTCCTATATAAAAGGATGAGCCCAGGTAGTGAGATATAAAGATCCTTTCCATATCTGATGCTTTCTAACTCTGTCCCTCAACTATTCCCAGAGTAAGTTACACCATCCTGTGTGGGCTTTAAGACACACGGCCCTTCCTTACTGTGGAAGACGGTGGTCTCCGTAGTTGACCCTGTCCATGCATGTGACAGCTGTCTCCATTCATTACCTGAACGAGGTCCATGCTGGTGTCCTTGCCTTTTTCAGCTCCATCCAATGGATAGGCCGAGCAAGCTGCCACACACAGCAGCAGGACAGGAAGGCTCTTCATTCCCACTGGCTTTGCTCAGCTTCTCGCCGTCCCGAATCCCGGCTCTCTGCTCACCTCCTTCTAGGCCTCCCCTCTGCAGCCTCACTTTTATAGGGTGACAATGTTTATTGAGATCACCCGCAGCTTGACTCATTCTTGCTTTCATCCAAATGGCAGCAGGACCGTTTCCAAGAATTCCGGATTCAAAGGAGGATGATACAAATCTACTTCATGAATTTCTCTCCACCTTCCCAATTTTGCAAGGCAAAATGGTGATTAATCTTCAGGAAATGCTTCCTGTCCTGGTAAAAGAGAAAACTGGGGCTTTTTTTTTTTTTTTTCCCCAACTCTGGAAAATGTGACTGGAATTCACTAGAAAACTTCTGTCTGTATGCTTGAGAGAAGTGGGCTGACTTGGTAAGAGCTCAGAACTGTGCAGAACTTTTAAAAGCAGTTTTAAGAAGAATGTATTTTGAAATGAAATATAACATGATATAAGAAAATGAAACATGTACGTCTATAGCTATGGTTTATACTATATATTACTCCACTGTAAAAATATAAGAAATAATATCCTGAGGACACTGGAAGGGAGAATTGATTTTTTTGTCTGATTTGAAATACCTACCCTTGATTTCTGACTGGATTTGCTAGTTCTTGAGGAGGGAGAGCTAGCTGACTGTGCAGTTCACATCCTGGACCTGGTGGCTTGAAAAACATGCTGGGCACACGTGCATGAGTGTCCAAAATCCTTATGAGATAGAGAAGTGGGGGAGAAGGGATCATGGCATGACCACATCCCATTTGGGGGTGCTTTCTCTCTCTTTCTGGCAAGCATACATGCCCACACGGGATGGTGTGACTTACTCTGGGAATAGTTGAGGGACAGAGTTAGAAAACATTGGATATAAAAAGGGTCTTCGTATCCTCTAGCAATTAAAAAAATAAACAGCAGGCCAGCCAGTGGTGTGATGGTAAAGGTGGCTGATGCCACAAGGCTGACTGTGCAGTTCAAGTCCTGGACCCAGTGACTTGAGAAACGCACCAGGCATGGGTGCCTACATGCCTAAAATCCTGAAAGGAGAAATGGAAAAGAACTGCAGAGTAGCCATCCTCCCGGAGGAGTGCTTACTCACTTTCTTTCTTTCTCTCTTTGGTCTCTTTCTCTGTCTCCAGTGAGCACACAGACCCTCTAGCAAATTAAAAATAAATAGATAAGTGAAAAACAAAAAATATAGTTGTGGGAAGATAGGCTGGAGTCCAGCGTGGACTCCAATTGTGGCTAATGTGTTTAGAGTTTATTCCATTGTTAGTAGAAAGTCATGTTTCTATAGAACATAATAAAGTTTTCTATATTTAAAGCTATATATGTTTATTGTACAAAATTTACAATATATGAAAAATTAGAAATAAGCAAATAAGTCATTTTTAGTCATCTCCCAAAGAGAAAAACACTATTAATACGCTTGGCTATGTACTTTTGACTCACTTTTTTAATACTAGTATATTATTTTTTACTTCATGCTTATTATAGAAATTTATAAAAATTAATCTATTTTCCCACAATTCTGAATCCCACTAGCCATAGTGCAGTATAAATAAGGCAATAGAGGCCAGCCATAGTGGCTCAGGGTGACAATGTTCTGCAATGCTGACGCCAGACGGGAAGGTCCTGGGCTCGGGTCCTGACTCCTCTGAACATGCTGGGTGTGCATGTGTGAGCCTGTGATCCTTGGCTGGGTGAGACTGGGGGTGGGTCATAATGTGAGAACCCTCTGTGTGTGTGTGTGTGTGTATGTGTGTATGTGTGTGTGTGTGTGTGTGTGTGTGTGTGTGTGTGTGTGTGTGTGTGTGTGTGT